ACATATACCCACATATTTCCTACATAATCCATTCTTTTGTTTATCATTTACATCCATCCAACATCCCATATTCTGGGGTACCTAGGACCTAGAAATGCTAACAGGAATCTCATTCCTATCTGTAGATAAAAATTTAATTTTCTAATAATCATGGGAAAAATAATCATCAAAATTAAAATAAAGATTATATTGCATTTCAGAGACTTGAAGGTCTTAAAAGGCTTTTAGAGTAACAATGGTGATTTAAAACCAAATAAAGCAAAAGATTGTGAGCAACTCACATGTTTGAGATCATTTTTAAACTGCTTTAGTTCATATCCTCTGGAAATCTTTGGAGAAAACAGCACTGCTCCATGCATATGACTGACTAAAGAAGTGATGGTCCGACGACCTACACCACTGCGTCCTGCTAATAGAAGTGAACCTCCAGGGAAACTCAGCACTCTATCTATCCTAGACATATACTCCAGGACTTCTTGGAAAAGTAAAATATCTAAATTCTGGTTATCTCGTCCATAATGAATAAGACCCTTTTTAAAAAATCACAAAAGAAATTATAATTAATATAAGCTATAATTACACAATAAAAATGTTACTTATCTTAATTAAAATATTATACTTTTGATACATTCAAGAAAAGGGGTGAAGTAACTACATGTGATCTCACACCCAACATTTTATCCATCCAGTAATACAGGTTTACAGGCACTCTAAGAAAAAACTCCCATAATGTCAGACAAGTTCAAGGGTCCACAAAAATTGATTCTTTTGGACATTAATACAACTAGTAAAAAGCAGCATGAGATAGCAGGTTAATTATCAAAACTTTAAAAGCGTTCAGATTTCTTTAGTTCTTATATTGATGCACATAGACCATAAGACAATCCAGGAATTCTAGAAACCTAGTCTAAAACAGCTTTTGTGAACTCTTGTTCTTTTGCACTGCTTAGGAATGAATCGAAAGCCCACACAGGTACCATGCTCTGTGAAGACTAAGTGATAGAGTGCAGGAAGAGAAAAAGGACAATTCGACTCCATATACTTAGCCTTCAACATTCCCAAACTTTACAATATCCATTCCAGGCAAATCAATCCATTTGTCAGACCGTGAACAAACTTTTCCTGATATAAAATCCACACTATTTCAATAAATTTTAATTACTGAAGCAATCATATGTAATACTGTTTCTTCTTTATTGTAACTAAACTTAAAGAAAAGAAAGAAAGCCTCTATGACAGTGCTACTCAAAATTTCAGTGGACCAGCAGCATCAACAGGGGAGCTAGAAATTCGGACCCTCTGGGCCTCACCTAGTGAATCTTACTCTGAGTAGGGGACCCAGGAATCTGCATATTTTCCAGTTCTCCAAGTGATTCTGATGCTTACTTAAGTTTGACAACCACTGCTCTAGGATGATTTCCGAATTAATACTAGGCCACATTAATATTTCCAATATCAGATGCCTTCTCTCAAAATGTATCTTAGCAATTTAACACATATCTGTGTAAGTACATGGGCATCTAGTTACATCTGCCACAATGGACTAAATTCCAAAAGATAAGAACCAGCTTTGCCTATTCTATGATCTTCCATTTCTATGACCTCAAAATGTTTACAATAAATATTTTTTAAATGACCATAACCATAACCAAATCCTAGTTCAAATTCATGATTCATATTATACCTTTTTAATAACATCCTTGAGATCTGCAGAGTTTAGTTTTCCAAGCGGTTTTCCATGTGGAGGCAATGGTTGTCCTAGGGCTACCCTTGGTCCTGAAATATGTCTAGCTCCCCATGTAACATAGAAATTATCTGTAGAAATAAAGGATATTTTTGTTTTATATGTATTATTTGTACTAGGAGAATCAGTAAATATATTGCTTATTAAATTATTTTAAAATTAATCAGTCCATATATGATTATACTCAGAAAGGCAAAGGTAAATTAAAGTGTGGCTTGGAAGATCAATTAAGAACAGTTAAAATACAAAGACTTTAAATTGCAATACGTAAAGTGTGGCTTGGAAGATCAATTAAGAACAGTTAAAATACAAAGACTTTAAATTGCAATATTGAACTCTACCTGAGAACTGACTGGCATATCCTTATTCTGTATTTATCCCCCCTTTTCTTTCTCCCCAAATGAATTGGCTTCCTTCTACCTTTCTCCTATTTTCCTTTTTCTATTCTTAGTTTGCCCTATTTTCCTTTTCCTTCTCCAGAATCTTTACATAAAATTTCTAAATTGAAAATAACACATTAAATTAGCAAGTAAACAATATGAAAACTCTCCTCGAGAAAGAACACAGATTTATTAATATCATCAAGAGCGCTAACATCTAAATTTTTTAAGCCAAATTTTAAACAGAAAATAAAAATCTCCCAAACATTGCTTAAAATTATCTATAACTATATTCCTGTTACCATACAAGAAAAATCTATTCACCATTCTACTGAACCTTTCCCCTCCCACTTCCCCTGTGGGTCAGTTTCGGATGTCACACACTCAGCTCTACACTATCCTAAACTAACAACAACCTTACCTTCCCTAGACCCAAGCTACTTCATGTTCCTCTCCTTTCCTTCATCATCACATTTCTTACATTATTTTCTAGGTATAGAAATCACTATGCTAAAACTCTTATTTAGGAACAACAATGCTGCCCCAATCTCCAAATCTAAATTTTCTTTGAAGTCATTATCCAACATGACCTTTGTGCATGTCTTTCTTGAAGCTTTTTTCCTTGCAGCTGTATGACCCTACTCATCAAGCCATAACCTCCACTTCCTTTCAGTTTTCTGCTTATCCCTTATACAAGGGGTCTTCAAAAAGTTCATGGAAGGATTTGTATTATCTTTTAATTCAACTTTTCCATGAACTTATTGAAGTACCTTCACAAATTGATGTCTTCCAGGATCCAAATTCAGCCTTCTAGTCTTTTAATTCTAAACAGTCCCTGTGAATTATTTAATATTTTTCTGTGTATTAAATTATCAATTATTTATATACCAAGAACCCACCCACTACTTATCTCTAGGCAAGTCACCAAAGCTCCAGTCTAGTCCCACATTTCCAATTGCTTAATAGACATATAATTCACAATTCACTCACTCAACGCTTATCTATTGAGCACCTGTGTTTAAACATTATACCTTCTGCTTGAGATAAAGTAGTAAATAAGACAAACATGATTCCTACCCTCACAGATGATAAACTCCATGTAGGGTTCCAAAAGACCTTCAAAAAAGCTTGCAAACATTCAAATGCATGTATAAAGCTGAGCCCACTACCGTCACACCTCATCATTTCTCCCCTGGACTATTTCAGTATCCTCTTACCTTGTATCCCTGCTACAAGTCTCTGCCTGCTCACATATATCCTCACAGCTAATAGAGTAACACATATAGAAACAAAACCTGGTAGTGCCACACCATTCTAATATTACATATAGCTTTCCACTCTCCAAAAAAAAACAACAAAACAAAACAAAACAAAAAATCCTAATGAAGGCCCTGTGCAAATCTGCCACTTATAATTGCTCAAAAAAATTGAAAACTTAAACTTAGGTGTAAATCTAACAAAACAGATACAGGAATTGTATGCTGAAAACTATGCAAGACTGAAGTAAGAAAGCAAAGATGTAAATAAATGAAGAGACATACCATGTTCATGAACTGTAAGACTCAACATAGTATAAATGTCAATTCTCCCCAAACCTATATAGAAATTTAATGCAATTCCTATCAAAATTTCGCACTATTGTTTATAGATATAGACAAGATTATTCTAAAATTTATATGGAAAGGCAAAGGAGTGGAAATAGCTGGAACAATTTTAAGAAAGAAGTATAAATCAGTTTACCCAATTTCAAGACTTATTATATAGTAG